AGGAGTCAGATTATGTGGGGTTTAGAGGGCATGGACAGGGTTTGGCTTTTGCTTTGAGGAGGGAGCCATTGGAGGGTTCTGAATAGAGGAATGACATGTCTAGCCTAATTTTTAACAGCATCACTCTGGCTGCTATGTTAATATTAAATGAAGTGAAGCAGGGAGACCACTTAGGAGGCTGTTGTGCTCATCCAGTTGAGGTATGATGATGGCTTGTCCCAGAGTGGAGCTGGTGAGAAGTGTCAGATTCTTAACACATTTTAAAGTTAGAGTTAATAGGATTTCTTGATAGGCTGGGTATGGAATGTGAAAGAAATAGAAAACTCAAGCTTATCGTCAAAGTTTTTGGTCTTAGCAACTAGAGCTTTGTTAACCGAGATAGGGAAGGCTGTGTGGAGAGCTGATTATGAGGAGTGTATCTAGAGCTCAGTTTTGGACAGGTAAATTTGAGATGGCACTTAGTGTGCCTTTAAAAAATATTTACTGAGCTAATGAATGGCAGGCATTTTGGCTCTCCTTTCCACTGTACTAGTTATTCCTGCATCTAGAGCCCTTTTTGTCTCACCTCTGCTTATCTTTGGGTTTGTGGAGGGGTAATTGCCTGGCTTGTGCTTGCAGTGAGGCGAATCTGGGGGTCCAGTTATTCCATATACAGACATGAACAGTTATTTTTTAAAATCATGAGCCCACACCCAGCCTCTATCTGAGACCAAAGATTTCTCATTATCATGTAGGAAAGATGGGCTTGCTTCTCAAAGTAGATCTCCTTTTTGAAGGTAGACTAGTTAAGTGTGGGAATGAAGAGGCAGAAACATGTTTTAGTTGATCCATGTTGGTTTAGGTAGATTATTAGCGTGGATCAGGAGAAACATGAAATATAATGTTGGAAAGAATTTGGAACAGATGTGGTTGGCCATATAGGAAGGAAAATAACTGGGTGTTTATCCATAGGGGGAACAGAAAAGGTTAACCAATAGGAGATTGCTATGATCAGACCCTTTCTTTGGTAAGATTATTTGAGAGGACTTGAAAATTGATTGAATGTTGGCACGAAGAGAAATACCTGATATTACTCTGGGATTTGAGGCTCTGCTCTGATAAGGATTTTTTGGATTCTATGGCCAGATATAGGAGAAGGAGAAGGAGAATATAACTTGGGAAGTAAAACAACAGCAATTTGAGATATATTACATTTAGAGTGAATTTCTGGTGGAAATGTCTAGTAGGAATAGAAAATGTGAAACTAGATCTTTGGAAGAAAGAGCTAACAATAAAGTCCCGAAAACAATGATTAAAGAACATTATGTTCCGTGATCATTTCCTCTGGTTTAATAAATTTAAAAGCAAACACACTGTGGCTTTTAAATTTCTTTTCCATGTTGAGTAAATCCTTGTGCAGTGACATCATTTTTACATTTCGTTCCCAAAATGTAAGATAATTACATAATATCTGTTTGTATTTTTGTGGGACTGTTACAAAATCTTTTGAGCGCATTAAAATCTCAACATCATATTGAGCAAATAATTTGAAGGAAAAGTGTTTTATTCCCTCTAGGATAGCAAAGTACACATTTTCTCAGATCTGTTGTTATAAATTTTGTCACTTTATTTTCTTAGACTTAACTAGATGTTGTGGTATAGTAAGGTCTACAAGAGCCAAACTCCATTCTCTTCATCTAGGTAACTTATGTGAGACTAAAGGAAGACTCAACAATGTTTTAATGTTTACTTTTAAATTTAACATTTAAAACATTTAAAATTATAAGCATTGTAAAAGCTAATAATAAATTTAAAAAAATAGATGTGTAAGAAATGAGTTCTTACTTTCTATCTTTAATTTAATTTCCCAGAAGTTAATGTTGAGTAATAGAGTATTATATATTCTCTTCAACAAATTTCTATGTATAGAGAAAAAACACTAATATCCGTTTTTATTTTAGTGATGTGAACTTAACTACACATTGTCTTGCAACTTTTTAAACTGAAAAATTGGCATAAGCATGTATTTCTTTACTAATGTTCTGGGAGAAACAAGATAGCCATGGATATTAATACTTTATTATTTCTTTCCTTTGAGAAGTTTTCAAAACACTCTTAAAAAGATATGGATCCCTCTCTCCAACAATGTTGATTAAAACAGCCAGTTGCGCCCTAACCGGATTGGCTCAGCAGATAGTGCGTTGGCCTGTGGACTCAAAGGTCCCAGGTTCGATTCCGGTCAAGGGCATGTACCTTGGTTGTAAGCACATCCCCAGTGGGGAGTGTGCAGGAGGCAGCTGATCGGTGTTTCTCTCTCATCGATGTTTCTAAACTCTCTATCCCTCTCCCTTCCTCTCTGTAAAAAAATCAATAAAATATATATATTTTTTAAAAAAAGATAGTAAGGCCCTGCTGATGTTGCTCAGTGGTTGAGCATCCACTTATGAACCAGGAAGTCACAGTTCGAATCCTAGTCAGGGAACATGCCTGGATTGCGGGCTGGATCCCCAGTGTGGGGCATGCAGGAGGCAACTGATCAATGATTCTCTCTCATCTGATTGGCCAAAGTCTCTCTTAAAATCTGTCTTCTTAATTCTTAACTAGTCAGAGGAAATTTCTAAAGGCATCATTCCCAAGAATTTGAGAGAAACAGTATTGTGTTTTATCTTTTCAAAGCAGATCAGCCTTAAAAGCTGTATTTGGCCAGCTAGTTGAAGAGGAAGCTTTATAGGCTCCTACAAGACCTGAGGAGATGTTAAACATCGTATGTAATTATCTTTGACAATGTCTGTGCTGAAAGAATAGAACAGGGGTATGAATACTTGGCAAATGTTTATGTTTTTTTTTAGAATAATACATTATGAGATTAAGTCAAGCTAGATGTACACTTAGTCACGTGAAGACAGACCTTTTTGCCCCCTATTCTATTTTCTTGGATTAGATTTTTACATAACCTAAGATAGTGAGTTAAACATTAAGTAACATATGGATAATCATATTGGTATCTTGGAACTCTGTTGGGATTCTTGCTTTCTGCAAACTACAACTTTTACTACATAGAGTTTCTGTCCAGTCTTAGGTAGTGTGAAGTAAAAATGGTGGGTGATTTTTACATGTCACATCATTTTATTTGGAGACTTACTAATGACAATACTGATTGATCTCAGAATTATTAAAAATCAGAATGTAAATTAAATATATATTAGACTCATAATTATAAATGAAATATTTTAAGTGTATATTTGATTTATTTTAATATTTCCTATTACTGCAAGCAGTAATAGTCCTATTAGAAACACTAATTGCAGAATTGTAGTTTGGAAATCTATGTTACATTAATGCCCAGCTCTGAACATATATTAGATCATATGCTTTTTAGTTTGTTTGTGATTTGTCATGAGCGTATGATTAATACCTACATTTTAATTTACTTTTATTCACTGATATCCAAGCCTCCTTACTTCTGTGATAAGCCATTTACATATCTCCATGGTCTCTTCATCTTCCTTTATCTCCTCTCCTCATAACAGCCTACCTGACCTGTGTTAATTGGTCCACAATGAGCTTGAGGATTTTAAATTTGTTTTATGTAACCCATTCTCTCTGACAGGGGCCTCCAGAACTACTGCCATTTTCTTGCATCCGCGCTTTAACTTCAGCCCATATTCCCCCTAATATATATTGTTGTACATTGGCTCAATTCATCTTCAACCAATATGTTTTTTCCTCCTTCTCCATTAGATTTCTCAAACAACCCTTATCTTTTGCCATATCTTTATTTTAATGAAGATAGTGACCTTTACAGTTAAGAACTATGTAGTTAGATAAATCTGGATCTGAACTCTGCCTTGTCTTTTTACTAGTTCTATGACCTTGGGCAAGTTAATATTTTTAATTTCAATAACTCTATTTCCTTAGCTATAAAAGACAACTCTCTAAGGTTATTGTGAGAGTTTGAAACTGAAGCACTTAACACTGCCCTTGGCACATGATACTCAATGACCACTGGGTAGTCACAGACAGGTGATTCCTTATCTATAACCTTTAGGTTAGATGTATTTTTAGAATTCAGAAACTTGTGGATTTTAAAGGGTGTGCATATTCCTTATATAAGATCTCTATTAGGATGTGAGGCAGCATTCTTAAACAAAATGATATTTCTGTAGGGAAATACTTCTGTATAATTTTTATATGGAAGTATTAGCCTCCCATCATTACCCATCCATCACTTCAAGTCAGATATTGCCACCGAGCTATAAAAATACTCATTTTTCAGAACTGTTGAATTTTGGAATTATGAATAAGGGATTGGGATTCTGGAAAGTAAAAGGAGATTCTGCATTTTCTTATTGTGAACTATACTATTCTCTCATTTTTACTATGTGGGTGTTTTCTAGATCTTACAAACATGGGCCACAGATTCTTTTTCTTAGTTTTGTTACCATAACTCACTCTCCTCCCAGGTGCCCCTGCCTGGGGATATCACTCCAGATAGCTTCTGAGAATTAAAGAAATGAAATAGAAAGAAATGGAATTCTTTCAGTATCAGTTTCCTCTTTGGATATTGGATATTTAAGTCACATTGAGAATTATATTTTTCTGTTCTCCAAAATTTGTTAGAATGCGAAGCATATGATAATATCAGGAGAGAAAAAGACATCAAACTTTTTAGTGTACATTCTGCCTTTGTAGTAAAAGCTGTGACCTCTTAAATATTTTAACTCAGAAGATATTTAAGCAAGATTTATAGTAAGATATAATATACTAGCAGTTTGAGACTATATTAAATTGTTTTATTTAAATACTTACAGGTTTTTAGAGAAATTTATATTGTCATATTGACTAGTTGACATTGCTCTTTACTTCCACTAATGACTACCTATGTACATTTTTATTCCATTGCTTTCTATTTTATATTGATTTGGGGGACTTGGAATGAGACTAAAAGTTGCAATTCAATCGTACCTAGTAATACATAATTATTATTTAGAATTTATTCTAGTATTTATTTATTTTTTTAGTGTCCTACTGAAACCAAGGCAACATTCGGGGTTCACCTTAAAATAGTAGGAGACTGGACAGGTATGTAGAACATACTGTTTTAAGATACATGCTTTGAAAATAATGAATCATACAATAATTTGTGTCTAAGTAGCAGAATTGCCAGCATGTATAGAAATGTATATATGTTCTTAAGCTGTTGTTTGTTTTCTTTACTTATACAGTTTTGATATTTATGTTTTCTTCTTATAAGATGAATTTTTGAATTAGAATATTTCAGATATTAGTAATTTTTATTTTCAAATCTTCACAGCAGCTTTATTTGTAATAACCAAAACCTGGAAACAACCCAGATATCTATTAACAGCTGAATGGATAAAAAAATAATTGTGGTATACTCATATAATGGAATAATACCTAACAATACTAATGAACAAACTATAGATATATGTAACAAGATGGATTAATCTCAAAATAATCATGGTTAATGAAAAGAGCCAAAGTCCCCATGCCTTAGAAAGTACTGTATATTGCATAAAGTTCTAGAAGATGTAGTACATTTTAATAATGTATTATTCACTGTGTTTGGAAATCACAGGTTTCCACCTACTTGACAGATGTACTGGCAATAGTGGGAACACTGAACTATTTTTTTCCTTTGTTTTAGAGAACATTATTTTAAAATTGGTGGTTGGTTTTACTCTTAAAACAATTGACACTTGGGGTTGATATCACACAAATCTTCCAGTTCTTGCATGACCTTTCCTGTGGTATCCACCTACTACATCTCTGAAATAGTGGTCATTCTTAATAGCAGGCCTATTGGTGGTGGTATTTTACTCATTTGTTCAATAAATACTTTTTTTTTATTTGAGAGGTTATATTAAGAGTTCTATGTAAATAAAAGAAACATTTATTCTTAATATTCCCTTGACTGTTTAGGTTGATTCCTCAGAGGAAAAGATGCAGGCATAAACATGAATGCAGATGTAAATAAAGATATTTATAATTGAGCGCTAAACTAGGAATTAGTTTTTGAAAACTATAGGAAATCAGAACATGTAGTCTAGGGCTATAAGAGAAGGTTCACAGAGAAGATATAATTTGAGCTGAACCTGGAAAATCAGGGACATGAGGGAAGAAGTAGGTCGTTTAAGTGAAATTCACAGCATTGTCAAAAACCAGGGAAGATAATGATTAAACCATATTTAAGAAGGGTAAGTCAATCAGCCTAGCAAAAGCAAAGATTTTGTTCTAGGAAGTAGTCTAGAAAATCCTCTTAGGGTCAGCTTGGTGAAGATCTTGAATGCCTAGACAAGATATTAGAATAACATAGAGATGCTAGGGAACCTTTAAAGACTTTGGAGCATCATAATGAAAATAGTATTAATAACTTGCTAGTTGGATCAGTTAGAATCAAGGGAAGATTCTATGGTGCTGGAAGCTGGAAGAGAGTCAGTGGAGGAGAGGGGATGGAAACTGGGGAGTAGAAGGAATGGATTTGTAAGCTCAGGTTGAGAAGTGAACATTGAAAAGGAGGAACTAATTTTTGTAAAAATAGGAGAGGACAATATATGTATTGTATGATAAAAGAGAAATATTTTAGGAAGAAGAACAATTGAAAAGCTTATATCACACAGTTAAAAATGATAGTAATAAAATTCTTTGTCTGTAGAAAGGACAACTGGCTTGGTATTGGAAAGTTGAAAAAAATGGAGAAATATCTCATGGGAAAACAATAAAATTAAGTCAAAAGATCTTTGAGCAGTATTGACCTACTTGGAATCATGAAAAACCAGGCTTGATTCATGTGATAACATTCAAAGAGCTCATGATAGTACAGGGTTAGAAAAACACTGGTATAGTTTGGAAACAGTAATTCTTATGACAACTACTTGATGTAACCACAATTGTTTTGTACCCTTTGACCAAGAATAAGTGAAGTTCTTTTCTGGTTCAAATATCAATATGGTAAGGATTAACTTCAGTAATGAACGGTAATTGGTAGAATTCTACATCTGAAGGGAAACAAACACAATGAAGGTATAATTTAATTCATCAGTGTAAGCAGAAACTTCATGATGGTTTATTGCTAATTATTGCTACTGAGTTTCTTCGTATTTTCTATTGTCAGCAGCTCATTAAAATAAATTATGTCATCATTTATTTTAATCTCTATTCGGAATACTTAATAGTTTAAATTTTATCCTCTTATTTCATGTACTATGTCATTGAGGGATAAACAAGATCATTTTATTCAGAGTTCAGTTCCAGTCAGTTGCTTTTCAATTAATAGAGACCTTCTTGGTTATTGACTTTAAATATTTGTTGATTTGAAAAAAATGTCAAGCATTCATGCAGAGAACCCCTAAATAATTGTGCCACTATCTGGCCTTTAAACAACGGAATTATAATTATGGAGGGGAAATGGGGACATTGCTCCTGAGATCAAGGATCACTGGTTTTTATTCTGAAAGAATTGATTAAAACTCAGTTTTAAGGGCAGTAGTTATAGTAAATACTAAAGAGATACTTAGGAATTCAAATATCAAGTTTTACTTTTTAAAAATCAGTTAGAAATATTCCACAGTGACTTTTTCTTCCCTGAAATATGTTCTGCCTGGACAGGTCTAATGAACAGGTTTAAGACCACCACATGCACGATTTTTCTAAGATTAATCAACTACACCCAGCTGTAGAGTGGCCATGAAGCAAGTGAAGCAGCTGTATAGCACAGTATCAAAGTTTTGTATTTGTTGTTTAGCCTTTTATTTTACCCAGGCCTGTAGTTGCATCTCCTAAGTGTGTGAAAGATTTATTGAAGTTTAGAAGTCTCTTCAAACCTCTGAAGTAGTTCAGGTTTTTCCCTGAAATGATGATGGTAGAGGGGGTGTAGTGAATTATCCGAGTAGAGTTCTCTTTGAATTGAATTAATATTTTGTTGTTCTTCTAGAATCAAAGTCAGATGTATGATGACAGATTGCCTGTTAGCTTGATCTAACTGTTCAAAATAGCTTATTACTTTCTTCATTAGATATCATTATTTTTGAATAATGTCTTAGATAATGTTACACCATAATTATTTTAGTCATCTAAATAGCAGCTTACTCTTGAGGGGTCTGAGTTGTACTATAAGAGCATTATATACCTAATATCCACATGTAATTAATTAAAAAATATTGTCATCGTTCCATTCAATAATTAGTGTATTAACAATAACTGGATAAAAATGCAATGAAGAGCTCATAACAGCCTTTTCTTAAATCTTGAGTATCCATTCCCATATTTTCTACTGGAAAATCTTGCTACAATCAGAAGATATGGTTAACTTTGAGAATTCACAGTGGGAAAACAGGGCCATATAATATCATCTCTTTGCCTTGATCACATAATACATTAATATTTATAGTACAACTAGGCTTAGATAGAGCTTTAGTTAAAGGGAGGGCCAAAAAGGAGGCAATAACTCTGTCTACTTACTTCAGTATCACTCTATTAGCCAGGTATGTCTCAAACTTCACCTAGCTCAGTGGTTCTCAACCTTCTGGACCTTTAAATACAGTTCCTCATGTTGTGACCCAACCATAAAATTATTTTCGTTGCTACTTCATAACTGTAATGTTGCTACTGTTATGAATCATAATGTAAATATCTGATATGCAGGATGGTCTTAGGTGACTCCTGTGAAAGGGTCGTTTCACCGTCAAAGGGATCGCGACCCACAGGTTGAGAACCGTTGATCTAGCTGATTGTTTATTAAAAGATTAAAACATAGTATGTGTGAAGTATTTAAAGTGGTTTTTTTTTTCATTTGGATTAACTCCAAGTGGAGTTAGTATGCTAGTTAATGACTTATTAAGTAATAATAATTTCATTATTTTATAATGACAGCATATTTTGGAACAGTTATGGCATCCACCTTACACTGTTTATGTCGGTGACTAGCTTTTGGTTGCTGCAAAATGGTAAAAACCAAAATACTCCCATTGAATACTGAGCTGCTTTTTAAGGACATGCCAAAAGAGGAGATACAAACTGAGTTTGAACATACTGACTTCTTCATGGATTATATTCAAATATACAAAACATCATGAGTTTTACATAATTCATGTTCACACATTATAAACTTTAGTCTAAACCCATAATAAATATGAATTATTAATTGCAATATCTGCAAAGGAGTGACTAGAAATACTGTTTTTCTTGTTTGTTTGCTTTTTGGCTATGACCAGCAAATTATAATGGTTAGGCATTTGTGGAAAATAACGTTTAAATTATTTGTTACTTTGCTATATAATCAAATATTTATTAAACACATACTATGTGCCAGATTCTGCACTAGTCTCTGGAAATTGACTAAAACTAAAAAGTTCTCTGTTCTGATAGGGTCTGTATTCTAGTCAGTATAGACCTCCAATAAACCAAAAGAACAGATCAATATGTAACAACTTAGAGGGTAATAAATGCTATGAAGAAAAATAAAGAAAGGTAAGGAAGTAAGAATGATGAAAGGTGTTAGTGCTATTTAAATTGGTTGTTTAGTTACAGACTTTTTGAGCAGACATGTAAGTAGGTGAGGTGACAAATAAGGTGGATTTCAGAAAGAGGTATATTCAGGCTAAGGAAACAGTAAGTGCAAAGTCCCTATCACTTTTTTTTTTTTTACTTTTTAATTTAAAATTTTAATTAAAACATTTTTTTTTCTTAGTTTTTATTTTTACTTTGGATATTCAGGAGCAGCAAGGAGGCCATGATAGCCAGAATACAGACCTTGAGGGAGATAATAGTAGAAAATGAGATCAGAGAGGGTATCAGACGCTATAAGAGGACTTGGTTCTGAAGACTACATCTGAATGAATATTAATTTTGTTCTAATATATACTACCTGGGGGTTGGCAGGCTGAGGTTATTTTTTTATGTTTTGGCTTATTGATTTTATTAAATTTATTGGGGTGACTGGTTAAAAAGACTGAATTTAGGAGGAAGGTGGAAAAAGTGAGAAATCTGAACATTGTAATAAATAGGTCAAACTTTTTTTAGTTGTGTGGGTAGGAATGATATGTCATTATTTGGAATGGTGG